CCTGGGTGCATTTATCTCACGTCGATCTCTGATTATCTCTCCTTAGCTCTACGAAGCCTTCACCTTCCTCAAGGGGCTGGGGGCTGTGATCTTGGTCCATGCCGAAAATGGAGATTTGATAGCTCAGGTGAGTGTTGAGAAGTTCTGCCCCTTCCAGTTCAGTCTGCTTCTCCTTCTTTGGAAAAGTGCAATAAAAGGGTGCAGATTAGTGAGATTAATAGGCAAAAGGTCAAGCCGAGAACTGGATATCGTACCAGACACACAGACGCATCACTTGTGCACCATCCACCGTGTGGCCATTGACGGCCCGCGTGGCCTCTGGAATCTCAGTTTTCTTACCTGTGCAATGGAGATAACGAAACTGCTCCATGACCCTTGAAGGGTGCTTATGAGGGACAGATGGGGATCTAAATGAAAACGCTCTGCAAACCTGGGGGGTACCAGAGGCAACACATAAGGAAGCTGGTGCTGCTTGTTGTCTTATCCAAACCAGAAATGGGCGCACAGGACAGAGCCTAGGCTTGGGGCAGGCGTTCCAGTCTGGCCTCCTCCATCTCTCAACCACATGACCTTGGGCAAAGATACTGACACCATGAAAGCCCTTATTCTTCATCCAGAAAGGCCTACTCACTGCTGTTGTGAGGGATCAATGGTGACAGGGATGCGTGGTTCATCTCGCACACAGCTGGCTATAGCATACAAATGTTTTGTAGGTGACATGAGACATGAAAACCTTCTGACCATCCGGTATGAGGAGTACGGAATCTGATGGGAAAAGAATATAGTCAGGGTGAACAGCTAGGTTCTATGCCAGCAGTTCTCATAAGAGATAGAGAGAGGAAAGAGCGAGAAAAGATGGAAGAGGCAAGCGTGATGGAAAAAAAGCACAACCTACAGAATTCATGTACGGATTGGATGGTGAAGAGGAGGAGGAAGCCAAGGTGACCAGCCACAGGGTCCTTAGGATTGGAACTTAGGTTGATGATAATCCACAGACAAGAGATTTTTGTCATCATGTGTGCTCGCTGGAGAGGTAAAGACAGTGAGACAGAAAGAGAAATAATCCTCTAGGGAGGATGGCCACACCACAATCCCTTTTCCATTCTCCTTTTGGGATTTTGAGTTTCAAGCCAGTGGGTCTGGGACTAGAACCACAGTTGGCTGGGTGAAAGTCCAGCACCTTAACCACTACACCAGCTGCTGACCCCAGCCCACAGATAATCCTCTGTGGCTCTTGGTTTTACCTTCTGGGCACTTAGTTCCATCTTCTGATACTGGAGACCTGCTCCAGCTGGGGTGGGTTGAGACTCAACCCACAGGTGAGAAGAAATTCAGGCAGAGACCTACCTCTATGCTATTTAGCATGTTCTCAGCCGACTATAGTCAGAGCAAGCTCAAGACTGTAGCCTTAGTGGCTATGAGACATGCGTATTTTTTTTTTTGCATTCTTATTCATTTTATTTTGAGAGACATATGTATTTATTGAGGGATGTTTACAGAAATAGGAGGGGTGAGGGGGAAGTAAAATAATTTACTCTAAAAAATGAGGTATTCAAAGGATGGGAACAATAATCATAAAACATGATGCACTGTTCTGTTTGATTAGGTGTAATCGGTCACAGTCCTCAGGGTGAGGGAGTCTATTTGTCTGGTGCATTCTCTTCTTAGATCTTGACTATTGGGAAAGGTCTTTTGGGTGAGAGGACTGATAACTTCAGCCCCAGGCCATGGTGGCAGCATTGCCGGTTACAAAGGCCTAGATAGGAATCTTATCTTGTTAAGTAAAGACACAGTTAATCTATACTAAAGTGGAATATCTATATTACAACTAAGGGGGTGAGCCTATTGCCCATATGGGAAAGGAATGTGGTCTTGTAAGCAGCTTAATGACTGACCTAAAGGTTATTGTGTACTTGGGACCCTCTATGCGTTGTTCTGTACAATGGCTGTGGCTTGGGGGAGTGGCAATCTTTCCTTGTCCTGAGATCAGATGTGACTCATGGTCTTTATTTGAGATATCAGTACCTTGAGTGGCAATCTTTCCTTGTCCTGAGATCAAATGTGACTCGTGGTCTTTGTTTGAGATATCAGTACCTCGCAGACGAACCCCTGAGCCTCTCCCAGCTACTGAGGTCATTTCACCAATTTAGTAGCTTTCCATTAACCCAAACCTTTCTAATGCTATCTATGTAATCCCCAGTAGGAGAAGTGAATGCAGCATTCTTTATTGACATTTTCCAGGCAGTGGGGTGAGTCTCACGGAAATAATTCCCATTCACCGGCACCTTAGGTGTCTGCATTCTTTCAGGATTATTAATTGGTTTTATTGTAAAAGTTACAGTAAGACTGGGGGTGTTATTTTGCCCTTACAGGGTACCATAATGACAGTAAAGCTCATGGCAGAGAGATTGAAAGCAAAACAGCACAAACCAGCACACCAAACACAGTTGAAACCTTGAGCTCGTAATTGTTAGCCTTGCTTGCAGTTCTTCTCAGCCAAGCCTTGCTTAGGCATGAGAGGCAGCTCTTTCTGACTCTGCCTGTGTTGGCTCCATGGCCTCCACCATTCTGAGTCATCCATTCTTTTTCACGAAAGGTAGCACATATTTGCCACTGAGTGGTTTCTCGCCCTGCTTCTAATCCCAGTAGAATCTTGGGGTCCAGCTGCTTCCTTTTTGTATTTCATTTCCAAGCTGCCAATGTTTTGCTAAAGTAATTTGTTCAAAATCTTTGTAGGCCTCCTGTGACTCTCAGCAGGGTTTACTCTATTAGACAGATACCACAGTTTTCTTCCAGATTAGCCCTCTTCCCTGATGAGAGAGCTGAGGAGGACATCCTTAAGCTTCTAGAGGTCCTATTGTTTGATTGAGAGGGTCCCCAGGCATACCCTTAATTTCTTTAAAGGACTTTTTAAAAGAAAAAATAACATTTTACTTCTGTCTTTTGTGAGAGGAGGAGGAAAGGAGAGAGTGCTGTGGAGTTTGACCTCTCACAGGTCTTACTGTTCTGCTGTCTTCCTCCCAGACCCCAAGCCAGTCAGGTCATGGTGTCTGGCATGTTCAAGGTGATCTGTGATCTGAACTCAGCCCACCCAGGTGTCCCCAGTTTTGTGTGGTGGCACCCTACCACCTGCATCACCACAGCTGAGTCTAAACGACGTTTTTGTTGGTTACCGAATAACACTTGGAAGCATCACTCATCTTTGTGGGTTCTTAACCAAACATTGTAGTCACACCCTTAGTTTATCATGAGACGACTGTTAATCTGGTACTCTCAGATTTTAGATTTGCTCAGAAGCCATTTCTTAATTTTATCGTTTCCTTTTTGGAGGGGCTGACAGTTTTCAAAATCATTGTGTCCTGATTCCTTTTTTTTTTAAAGTCTTTTCCTCAATTTATTTCTTCCTTCCTTTTTTAATAAGCAGTAAGAAGAAACCAGGTGGTACCTTCAGCAGTTTGCGGGGAGTTTTACCGGTTCGTTAGGCACATGTTCTGCGTCCTATACAACCGCAGGGGGCAGCGTGATACACTCTCTTACCTAGCAAGGACCCCACTCCCCACTTTTCAATAACATGCCCTCACTTCCTTTTGAGCACTCTTAGCAATGTCCTCAAAGGCCATACTTCTTTGTTCTTCTTTAAGAGAGGTTTTTGCTATAGGGTGTGTCTCTTGCTGGAGAGACAAAGAGACAGAAAGCAAGAAATCACCCCACCCCACCCCCAGGAGATGGCCACACTGCAGTCCGTACGCCTCCATTATCTTCTTGGGATCTTGGGCACGCATGAGTTTAAACTACCGGGTCCAGGACTCAAATCATTGCCAACTTTATAGGAGTCCAGTAACATAGCTATTATGCCATCTGCTGACCCCTCCCCCTCAAAGACTGTATTTGTACTAACAATCTTTTCAAGGCAACTCAACATGCTCCTCAGAAATTCTGCAGCTTCCATTCACCACCTGGTTCCAAAGACACTTCCACGTTTTTAGGTAACTTTTTGTGTAACACCCTACTTTTGGTATCCAAATAATTATCTAGGACTGTATAAGAAATTATTCTGGGGACCAGCAGTTAGTATAATGGCTATGTTGCTGGACTCCCATGTAGTCGACTACGGTTTGCGTCCCGGACCCGGTGGCTTAAACTCACGCTGGACGCGTGTGCGTGCATGCCCAAGATCCCAAGAGGAGAATGGAGGACAAGGGATTGCGGTGTGGCCATCCCCCCTGGGGGGGGATTTCTCGCTTTCTGTCTCTATGTCTCTCTCTGTCTGTCTGGCAAGCGCACACGCCCTACAGTGAAAATCTCTCAAAAAAAAAAAAAAGGAATTATTCTGGAATTTAGCATATTAAAACCATAAGTATCTCTTACCTCGTGGTCTTGCAGCTCAGAGTCTCTCTCAGGCCACAGGGAAGGTGTCCCATAAGGCTCCAGTCATCTCAAGGCTTGAGTGAGGCAGAGTTCACTCCCAGCCTGATGTAGATTGTTGCTTTCAGAATTTAGTCCTTCGAAAACTCTCAGGAAGATGACCTCTGCCCTTTGCTGGCTGCGGGCCAGAGACTTCCCTTGGTTCTTTGCCATGTGGCATCTGACATGTCAGCGGACTTCCTCCAGAGGAGCAGAGAGCAGGAACACACGAGCCAGGTAGAAATTGGCCTTTTTTATACCCTGACCACAGAAGGAGTATCCATCTCTTTTGCCGTATTCTGCTCATTTGAAGTAAGAGGCTAGGTCCAGCCCATACTCAGAGAAAGGGGATTCCACAAGGGCGTGGGTCACTGGGCACTTGGAAGTTGCATCCCCTACGTGTCTTAGTTTTTGTTGCTCTTGAGCGTCTTAAATATGGAGCCCTACAATATGCGCTCGATATGTCCAGCTTCTTTGGCTCAATATGAGGTTTCTGAGATTTATCTGTACCCGTTTTTCAGCACTGTGAATACATGAACATGCTTGCTCACTCTGTTGTGGAATGTATGTTCACGTTTCTGTTAGTGTGTCTGTCGGAGCAGAATGGCTGGGTCATGGAGTCTGTATGTACTCAGCTCCAGTGGCTACGGCTCAACGGTTTTCCAAAGTGGACCCACTTACACTCCCCCCACCTGTGTGCGAGGACTCTGGTCTGGAACCTTCTGTTCTTGTTTTATGTCAGGCGTGTCTTAGCTTTTCTTCTGGGAACTGAAGATTTCGCCTGCTCAGTTCCAATACACCTGTTACCTTTTGTACATCTGCTTTCCAGCTCCCCAAATTTGTTTCTGATGTCTCTTCTGCATTTCCTTGGTTTTCGTGTATCTTTTCTGCTGCCGTCGTGAGGTTTTAGAAGTGAGAGCAGTGCATGTGCTCAGCCACTGCCGTTAGCCACTCTACTCTCGTCTTTGCTCTTCCCTGCGTGCCGTCTTTTATCCTCCCTCCCTCCCTCCCTTATTTCCTGCCCTGTTTCCTTCCTTGTAACAGAAATGGTAGACTGACATTTAAACAGTTCTACATAAGAGTTTTTTCCATATCATCTTTTCGTAGTTTCTAAAAATGCGTTGTAAACACCATCTTCAGTAGCTGAAATTATTCCATTGTTTACTTAAGTACATCCCAGCTGCTAGACCTTAACATTCTTTCTGGGTTATGTTCATATAATGAACTTGAGTTTAATAACCACAGATGCAAAATTGAAATTGTGACTTTTTTCCTCCGTTGACAGAGCCCAGGGCTCATGGTAGCGATGCGTCTAAGGATGACACAGAAACCGCAGAAGTTAAAATTAGCAGCAGCGCAGCTGGCATTGGGGCAACGTAAAAATATGTATTTTTTAAATTTTTATTTATTTATTTTTTGAACTTAAAGTTTTCCTGGGGCAAGGACACCTTGATGGATTTGAATCTGGGCCATCAGCCCAGGGACCCGTGAGGGGGGGTATAAGTTTGAGGTCGTGGTTTCCATAGAGACAGATGGGGGGGGACTAGAGATCAGAAGAGCTGGCTTCCAATTAAGGAGCGGTTCTGTGCTCCAAGGACTGGGCTACGCATTTTACATATGCTGGCTCCGTTACTCAGTAAAGCCGGCCCTACTGACCTCAGTGTACGGAAGAGAGGACTGACGTTCAGAGAACTTGACCCACTTGCTCAGTCTCAGGGATGGTTGGGGCTCTTTCATGTCAGCCTCCATGTCAGACACCTGTGTCGTCCCGAAGGAGAGCCCTGCAGGACTCAGAGTTGGGTAGGCCTGGGCAGGCTTTGAAGCTCATCTCTTATACCCCTGCTTACTCCCCCTCATTGATACTAGAGTGGACTCGAAGCAGGTGTGGGCGTGGCGTGCAGGACTGCAAAGGGAGAGGTGGGTGGGTGTAGCAGAAGGAGCACCGGTTCACCGCGCCATGCCCCAGCCAGCAATCAGACCCTGTACAATTGTGACTTTTAAATTTTTTTTTATTTTTGGAGAGGTTTTCGCTATAGGGTGTGTGCGCTCACCAGAAAGACAGAGAGAGAGAGAGACGGAAAGTGAGACATCACCCCCCAGGGGGAATGGCCGCACGGCAATCCCTTCTCCTCCATTCTCCTCTTGGGATCTTGGGCACGCACGGTGTGGAGTTTAAGCCACCGGGTCTGGGACTCGAACCACGGTCAACTACGTGGGAGTCCAGCGACATAGCCATTACGCTAACTGCTGGTCTCTACAATTGTGACTTATGAAATTGTGACTTTTTTCCTCCGTTGATAGAGCCCAGGCTCATGATAGTGATGTGTATCAGGATGACACAGAAACCTCAGAAGTTAAAATTAGCAGCAGCACAGCTGGCATCTGGGCAACGTAAAAAGAAAGTTTTTATTTATTTATTTATGTTTTGAAATTAAAGCGTTCCTGGGGCAAGGAACATTTGCATCCCCCTGAACCTTGGCTGCTCCGTCGGTCTAAGCAGGGGGCTGGAGGGATGATTTCCAGCTCTGACGCTCTATATTTGCTGCCTCATTCATTCTTGTCTTACAGGAACAGAAGCGCATCTTAGAGATGGGCATCACGGGTCCTGAGGGCCATGCTCTGAGCCGACCTGAAGAGGTAAGGACGTGCCCACCTGAGAGTGACTGTGACGTCACTGCATGCCCATCCCGATACCCTTCCAGCTGAAATAGCCCCAGCAGGGCCCCAGCTTCTTCTCGTTCTGTCAGCCAGAGCACCCCAGCCCTTCTTACCTTCCCTGGGAGCCCTGGGGCTGTGGGTCCATCAGAGAAGCCAGGAGAGTCTGCCTCTTGTTGGGCACAGCACATGCACCCCATGGCCCACAGCCACTTCACTGTCCATACTGGATAAGAATCCAAAGGTGTACAACAAATGTAAATAAGAAATTACAAAATAAAAAAGCAGAATAAACACTAAAAAAAAAAAAAAATGAATCCTTACCGAGGACTTTGTAAGAATCCTTACTGAGGACTTTGTATACTAGATCAGTAGACCCCAACCCCCAACCTTCCTAGCACCAGGGATCAGCCTCCTGGAAGACGATTCCTTTAGGGATGGGGTTGGTCCTAGAATGACCCCAGTGTCCCACATCCACCGTGCATCCCGTTTTCACCACTGCCACATTGTAACATATAGTGAAACAATTACACAATAGGGTTTGCATTCTCATGAGAATCCAGTACTTTCCCTGATCTGTCAAAGGCAGACCCCAGGCAGCTATACCATTAATGGGGAGTGACTGCAAACACAGATGAAGCCTCACTCTCATTCCCCTGCCACCCACCACCCACCGTGGGGCCTTGGGTAGGGGGCAATAGGCCATGGACTGACACTGGTCTGTGGCCTGGCGACTAGGGACCCCTGTATAAGATGAGAGGGAAATGATCCCATGTCTCAAGCCTAGCACCCAGGAAGCAACTCCCTCTGCCCTGTGTTCCCCAAACTGAAAATGGGTGAATTTCCCTAGGGTGGCAGAGCGTGTGCATATGTGTGTGTGTGTGTCTAGGGAAGGGGACAGAGGAAGGCAAGCAGATTGGGCATGGAATAGGGTGAATACCCTAGCAAGCATCTTTTGAGCTGCGAATAGTTTCTGATGGCCTTGTCAAACCAGTACCAAGTCTTCTAGGACCTGCATCCCGGACCTGGCCCTGTGCTGGATCCTGGAGAAGCAGGTCATAAGCAGACAGAATTCCTCCTCCAGGGGCTCTTGGCTTTGCTGAGGGCTCTTTGTGGTCTCCATGGCCCAGTGATGGGCCACGAGCTACTTGTTCCTGGCCTGTGATGAGATCATGACAGAACCCACCAGGTGACAATATTCACACACTTTTGGATATTGCCACCCCGCCAGGGCAAGTGACCAGTGACTTCACCCCAGAGAGCAGAGAGGGCTCTTTCAGGTGGTATTGGGCCCACAGAGCATGCAACCTGCAGGACAGGCCACAGCCTGTCATGGGCAGCAGCCCACCCCCGGGGCCACATCCGGTCGGAAATGGAGAACAAAGTGATTCAGAGTAGAACTGGCCCTTCGGTCTGAGAAGAGCTGGTCTAGAGAGGGCAGAAGACAAAACAGCAGGCAGTTTCATTGTTTTGTGTTTACACGTGAATGAAGGTAAGGATGCTTGCCAGACATTGCATTTACTTCCGTCAGGCTTTTTACCAATCTTGGGCCATTTCATGAGCCTTTAATATCTTATTCTGTCCAGTCTATCCCTGGGCGAGTGGAGATCTTCTAACATGGTAGTTAGAATGCTTCCAAACAAGCCTATTAGCATAATTCTGTCTTCTGGGCATCTAGACAGATATATAACTTTTCTTTCTTTTTTTTCTTTTTTAAAGTTTAGAATGTTTTCCTCTTTTGATACAATAGAATTCCCTTTTAACCGTATTTAATTAAAAAAAAAAAAAAAAAGAAAAGAAGGATGCCAGTTCAGGGAGAGCCCTGGGACCTAGGGGTGGGTGGTGACTATCTCCCTGCTGTTCCCCCCTGTGACCCTGGTACCTGCTGTTCCCAGCTGGAGGCCGAGGCTGTGTTCCGGGCTATCACCATCGCAGGCCGGATCAATTGTCCCGTGTATATTACCAAGGTCATGAGCAAGAGTGCGGCCGACATCATCACCCTGGCCAGGAAGAAAGGTATGTGGCCAGCCCTGGGCCCCGGGCCCCGAGGAAGGGATGTCCAGCAGGCTCAAGCTCACTCTCAGCACTGCTGCCCAAACAGCGACCTGTCAGGCGGAGCCCAGCGAACCTCACTGCACACTCTGGAAGGGGGCAGGACGGCAGCAGAGCACAGGGTAGAGAGTGAGCTCTGTAGGCTCGAGGCCCGGTGTGTCATGTGCTAGCCGTGTGACCTTGGGCAGGTCACTGAGTTTCCTCCTTTGTAGTTGGGGGTAATGACCCCTGTCTGGTGGAGCTAAATGAGACCACATAGTCTCAAGAGCTTTGCCAACTTTAAAGCTCTGTCCCAGGGTTTTAGAGAGAGCCAGGGCCAGATTGCACACTGTTCCTCTTTCTTGTCTACTTTCTGAGAACTTTGGCCTGCACTGGGCTCACTGGAGCCCCTACCCGGAACCACAGGGTTGGTCGTCCCCAGGGTCCACTGTGAGGCCTGCAGGACAAGTCTCAGCTGTGCTTTGGGAAGGAGCCTGCAGTTTCGGGGCAGCCACATGCTGGGCGTGGAGGAGGTGTCAGGCCAGGTCAGCTGCCCAGCTCCGACATGTGGATGCATGCCTTCATCTTTTTGGCTTCTGTTCCCCTCCCTGTAAAATGGACCCACTGAGCTGATGGATGTGATGTGCTGGGCAAGTCCCGAGTACCAAGGACATGTCATTGTCAGCCCAGACTGGCCATTCACTTCCTGCCTCAGTACCCTCATCTCAGTGCAGGCACCATCTTGCCTGCGGAACTGAGGGTGCTTTGGGAAGGAGCCTGCAGTTTCGGGGCAGCCACATGCTGGGCGTGGAGGAGGTGTCAGGCCAGGTCAGCTGCCCAGCTCCGACATGTGGATGCATGCCTTCATCTTTTTGGCTTCTGTTCCCCTCCCTGTAAAATGGACCCACTGAGCTGATGGATGTGATGTGCTGGGCAAGTCCCGAGTACCAAGGACATGTCATTGTCAGCCCAGACTGGCCATTCACTTCCTGCCTCAGTACCCTCATCTCAGTGCAGGCACCATCTTGCCTGCGGAACTGAGGACTCGGGGGTGGGGTCAGCTCTTGCAGCTGGGGTCTTGCAGCATGGCCCCTACCTGGACTTGGGGCTTCCTGGTAGGAGACTCAGAAGGTCTGGGTGCAGCACATAGGCCATTGGTCAGTGAGACCTGCAGTCTTGAGACTCAGCAGACCGAGAATGAAGACCGATGCCCAGATGAGTCTCATACTCAAAGACAGACAGGAGGAAGGGGTGGAAGGGAGGGGCTGCTCCTTCCACAGGAACCGTGACCAGAATCCTCGGGCCTAGTGGTTCTGGAACAATCCACCTGGACAGGCTGGCCTGCTCACTCTCTCCGAATCACATGCGGCTGACAGAGCTGTGGGTCAGTGGGAGTGGGTGCATAGAAATCAGTAGCAGCCGCAGGGGCGGG